AACTGCTTGTTTGTGACTAACATTTTTAGAGTGATATATCAAAAATTAAAAATAAAAGAACAATGTTATATTCACAAGTAGAAAAATCACAAATTTCACAAACTTGCTATTTATAGTTTAAATTCTCATTTTAAAATTATTTTGGACTACTTATTTTTTATTAAAATTCACAATTAGTGAACCAAAGATTTCCCAAAATAAAATTGATGTAGCATTAAAAATATGAGAGAGAAAAGAAAAAAGTGAGAGGAACCTTTAATTGAGTTCGGTATGAGCAGATGACTTGGTGTTCCACGGTATCAACAATCTATTCTCATCCTTGAGAACCCTCTCAGATTTGGTCGGAAGATCACTAAGATCAAATATTCATTTTTTTTATTCTTTTGACTTTGGTATTGTCAATATATATAGTACCAGAGTATACTTTTAAATTTTGACCACAACAAGTTACAAGAAAAAATTGTGATATAAATGTGATCTCAATTGTTTCTTTTTGATCAAAATATACTTGTGAAATACCCTAGAGTATCAAATTGTAATACTACGTACTATACACATAAATAATTAAAGACATTAATTAATAGTTAAAATGTTTTATATATATTAGAAATAATAACAAGTCAAATAAAAAGAAATTAACAAGGTGAAGGGAGGGAGAATTTCATGATATCTGTAGAAATATTAGAATAATAATATTGCTCATTGAATTATGGAGTACATGATAGAGTATATATAGGAGAGACTCCTAACACAACTAGAAATAGAGAATGGAAACTAACTAACATACAACATCTACCACAAATAGAACTAGGAAGCTGACTAATAATGAAACACTACCATAACCAATACTACAAGAAGTACTATTAGTATTATTGTCTAACATCCCCCCTCAAGCTGAATTCTGGCTAAAGCAAGAGGAAGCTTGGACACTAGCTGGAAACTGGTAACTTTGAGAAGAGAGAAGTCTAACATGTGCCGGTGGCTACTCACGTCGTAAGAGAAGGGAGAAGTGTGACGCCTAACGTGCACTGGTAGCTGCTAACGTTGTTAGAGAAGAGAGAAATTGACGTGCGCTAGTAGCTGCTGACGTCGATGAAGAAGAGAGAAGGTTGACGTGCGCTTGTAGCTGCTGACGTCAAAGAAGAATAGAGAAAGCTACTGGAGGTGCCTGTTGGACTGAAGATCCTTGACATTTTTGTCTTTTTCTTGGATCCGGGCAATGCCCTATTTCCTTCTCGAATGAGTGAGTTGTAGAGGTATTTGTTTTTCTCTTTCACTACTTCCCTCATTGGCTTTGCTTTTGTGCTGATTTACTTTGGATTTTTAATGGTTCAATAAAAGAGAAAGAGAAGGGAGGTTAAGAATTGGTGATGGAGAAAAAAAATTTGGGTATGAGATTTTGATATGGAGAGTTGGAGAGAAACAACAATCATTTTTTTTCCTTTTTTTTTGAGAAGATATAATGAGTTGAGAAAGTTTTTGAGGAGTTAGGTTTTTTTTGAAGAACCATGGAGATGACAAGAGAGAAGTTTCTCATTTGATAGTTTTTTTTGTGTGATTTCAACAGGGTTTTTTTCTTTTTTTTTTCATTTGAATGGAGAAATTGATTTGAGGATAAAGAAGGAAAAGAAAATAGAGATGAATAGGATAGAGCCGCCGTCGCCGGAATAACCGGCGGCGGTGGGAGCAAAGAATTATTTTAGGTCACCAAGAGCGGTGGCTCCGATACCATGTTGAAATATTAGAATAATAATATTGCTCATTGAATTATGTAGTACACGATAGAGTATATATAGGAGAGACTCCTAACACAACTAGGAATAAATAATGGAAACTAACTAACATACAACATCTACTACAAATAGAACTAGGAAGCTGACTAATAATGAAACTCTACCATAATCAATACTACAAGAAGTACTATTAATATTATTGTCTAACAATATAATATCATATCTAATAATGACATTTTTTTTATAAAACACATCTAAAAGACAATTTCCGTCGTCAGTGGGAATATTTTGTATCCAAGTGGATGTGAATTATTTTCAAGTGAGAGTTTTTCTCTTTAGTGGGGAAGCATTGAAAAAAAACTTTTTTTTACACACTATTGTGAGTGCTCTGATGAGAATTATTGTGGTATGATACTCTAATTCTTGACTTTTCATTTTTCGCTTTTATCGGGAGGGGTAAAAATGTAAAATCTCAACCAAAAAATCAGAGGAATGATTCATATTTATATATATTTTGTATTAGTTTTATTTAATTTTTATGTAATAATGTTAGAACCACAAAATTAAATTTACCACATTTACAAGCTCTCATGCATGCATGACCCTACATATTTTAACCTTTCATTAGTTTCATGTAGTGGAGTACTGTTGTAGTCTCCGTTTTTAAAAGATTATCACAGTTTAACTTTTCTTATCAAATTGTGGTACTCTTTGACTACAAATAATGACATTAAATTTATTTTAAAATGTAGTTTTGAAATATCAAATTTTCACAATATTAAATTATTTTAGACTAGTTAATTCGTGGTAAAAAATTGTAATAGTTTGACCAAAAACATTAAAATATGACTATCTTTTATGGACAGAGAGAGTATAATTCTTGAATTCTTTCATATTTTTATTTTTTCCTTTTTTTTGTTACATTAAAAAGATAAATTAAGTGGAAAAATAGTGGAATCATGAGAATTTGTAAATTTTTCGTTCTGAGATCAACCCCCTCCCCCCGAGTGTAAGTAATAACATGAGTTTTTTTTCCTTTTCGGAATTGTGTCTCAACTCTCAAGTTATTACATGTTCGAATAAAACCTCGGGTTATTTTAAACTCAAAACCCTTAAGTCTCCTACTAACTATTCTCTCCCTTTCATAAAACTAAATAATTTCACTTTCACCGTTTATATTTTTTCATCCATAAAACACTCTCACTTTTTATTAAAAAGCCTATGAACATCTATACTAACTTTTAGACTCTTACCCAATCTATCATTTCTATTTACTCTCTTTTCATCCCACAATTGGTTATAATATTCATTATTCTAAAATTACGATAACCCTTATTTATTTATATATTTTTTTATTGAATATTTGATAAAATAAAATATTCTTATAATCTACTCTCTCTGTCCCAAAAACTCATTCCCTTTTCTTTTTTTACTTGTCCCACAAAATCTTTTTCATTTGTATTAAAAAGTTACTTTTATCCAACTAATTATAAACTTACCTATCACATCATATCATTTTACTAATAATCTAAACATCACATTCTATTTTTACTCATCACATCAAAGTAAATTTTAGAAAATCTATACAAAAACATCTCTCTTTTAAATTTTCTAAAAGTAAAAATGAGAGTAATGAGAGTATTATTTTATAAAATGAGTAATTTCTAATAATAAACAGATAACTTAATTTGAGACGGATGATGGATGACGTAGTACTTCCTCCGTCCGGAAATATTCTTCCCATTTTCCTTTTTGGTCCGTCCTGAAATATTCTTCCCATTTCCTTTTTTAGTATACTTTTTAAGGCTAAATATCAATAATACCCTTCTATTTTATCACAAATCTACTTTTTTAGTACTTTTTTAATAATAAAAGGATAATTAAAAGTTTATAGTATGTTTATTTTTGAAAATTTTGCATTTTTTTATTACTCCTTAATAAGTATGCCAAGTCAACACGGGAAGAACATCTCGGGACGGAAGGAGTAATTATAAGGGAGTAAATTGATGCAAAGTGATAATTTGACAATTTGGTGCTGTCTGTTATGTCCTCACATGGCATTTCGAGACAACATTTGAATTTCCAATGTTACATTAATTAATAACCTTGAAGTCAACAATTTTTAAATTATAATAATAACCAATCAATCTTAAGATATCAATTTGGGAGGCCGTAATTGAATTAACTGTGGAAAGTTATTCTCTTTATTCTTTTAATTGTTTGGTTCTCTTTATATGTCTAATAGACTAATACTCCGTATTTAATTAACAATATTTTTAGAATACATTAGCAAGAAATATATTGCATATTTTTAGATATATTTCGTCAAAGTACTACATGAAAAATCAAAATATACAGATAAAAAAAATTTGATATAAATATAAATATTATAACGTGATTTTTATATTTTAATTCAATGCATATTTTTAGATATGTTTAGTCATAGTACAACATGAAAAAGTCAATACTATATTAGTAACAATATTTTCTTGTAAATGCAATACTATATTAGTAACCTTGAATTTAATACTCCGTATATTATATACTATTTTCGTCCCAAAATATTTCACACTTTACGTAAAATTATACTCTCTCCGTCCCAAAAAGTCAGTCCCATTTCGAAAAATTTGCGTCCCTTGAAGTCTATCCCATTTCTATTAGAAAACCATTTTTACCTCTTACTTTTTCATACCCTACCTATCACATCATACATTTTTTCTAATAATCTAACCATCACAACCTACTTTTATACATCACATCAAGGGTATTTTTGAAAAGTCAACACAAAATTATCTCTCTTTATTATACCACTTTAGTCAAAATGTATGTCTCAATCATTTTGGGACGGAGGAAGTATTTTTTTGGTAAATGCAATACTATATTAGTAACCTTGAATTTAATATATACTCCTCCCATCCCAAAGTGTACGTTTTACACCTTACGTAAAATAGAGCAAAATTTCAATATTTTTTAATTCATTTTATGTTAAGATTGGTAAAGAAATTAAAAATAAAATTTATTATTTAAAAATTACATCAAAAGTTTTATAAAATAAGATGTGGCAAAACATTTTTATTTTATCTAATAATCAATTATAAGAGGCAAATAAACTATTAAGATAATAATATGAATAATAGGAAATAGACTATTATTATTTTTATTATTAATTTTCCTTTTCTATAGTTATCATAATTACTTATTCTACTATAATTAGGATTCTCTATGTATTCCTTATATATAGCGATGAATTATCATTATTCAATCATTAAGACCAATGTGTAGTCTTTTAAGTACTATATATGAAATACTAGTATAATACGTAGTATTTGGTTAAAAAACTAAGAATAAAATAATTTTCAAATATAGAGTAACACAAATGTATTCTCTTAAAATTAAGGATGATATGTTGAAACCTCATGTTATGAAAGCCAATTTATAGAATTCTCTTTTTAAAAATATCATCCCTCAAAGTACGTCCCCTTCGTGTGAATATTAACATCACATTTTTCAAATCTAAATCCTAAAACTAAAGTCAGACTTTCTTTTCCATCATAACCTAAGATACCCAAACTTTTGTATCACTTTTTACATTCCTTATTATTCAAACCCACTCATCTTTACCTTCTTCAATCACTTGGCTTACTCATCTTTACATTTTCCAAATAATTTTACACTTTTTTTCCTATTTCAACCATATTTATTTTAAGTTTATCTTAATTCCCTTGTTTTCCATTTGCAACTCTTTTTTTGGGACAGGTCACGGGTCTAATTTTCATCCAAATAAATGGGCCGGAACCAAATACGGAGCACCCAAATAAATGAAAAGAACGGACATGAAATGGGCCGATTCGGTGGACCGAGGAGCTCCAGATCGCGCAACCCGAATAAAGATCGGGCCGGATGACTCGATCAATTCCAAACCGTTCGTTCTGAAGGGATTTCCAGAGGCCGATTCTTCTTCTTCTTCTTCCTCCCACACGCCTCTTTCCACAGATCTCTTCAAGCGAGACGTTCTCTGCTCTTCGCGTCGCAGCAAACTCCCTCTCGATCTCGACGCCATGAGTAATTGATCTCTATTTCCTTGTTTCTATGCGTTTCGTGTATTATATGCATATGTATATCTGGAGTTTTGCGTGTTTTTACGGACTGCGTTGTTTGTTTGAACGGAAATGAGGTTGTTGTTATGGCGCGTGCAGGTTTGGGGAAGAAGATAAGGATTGGAGCTGAAGGTAGAGGCTTTCATTTCGATCTTAGCTTCTTCCGATCATCATTTTTGTTTTGGGAATAGAGTGTATGTGGTGCTTACCTGCGAGTCATTTCTGCTTATGAATGTAACGTTTTGATCTTTGTGAATCAGGATTTGGGAAAATCAATCGGTTTATGTACAGAATTTCTGGCCGAAAAGATGAGAGTAAGCAGTTTTTTGGTGCCAATGATTCGCTTAAGGCTGCCACTTGCAAGGTAATGGAGTTTAGTTCATAATACTTGTACGTCTTTGATGTTCTTTTGTTGCTATTGTGTGGTATTTCGTAGCTTATGTTAAATCAAATCTTTTAATAGATTAGATGCAATCTTTGGAAATCGAGAGAGAGAGAGAGAGAGAGAGACATAATTTGCTTCGGTGTCCATAGTAATGTGTAATCTCTAAAATTCATGTGATGTAGTAATCATCGTGAAATCATGGTGATTGGAGACTCCCTGCAAATATATTCTGTATAAGCAATTACAGCCACTGGTTGTAACACCTACATCCATATTCATCCTCAAATTTATAGCTGGGGAACTTGTTAAAATAGCTGTTGCTGTTATACATGGAAATGACTTGATAATATTTTAAGCAAGTGCACCCTTTATGAGTTTCTAGTTTCTAGGATTACTTTGCTCAACCTTCTCTGCATCATATGCGCCTACCAATTGTTGTTTCAGCCATCACTTGATCCCATCAGCTAGTCAGCTACCAACATGCTTATGGTATTTCATTGAGGCCCTTTGTTATCCAAATGCTTTCTTTATGTAACTCAGTTGCAGAGTAATAACTAACAGTATTTATGCTTTAATAATGAAAGAGAGAAGCAATTTATTTTGAGGTCAAAGAGAAAAGATAGTTCATAGCCTTTTAATTAAAAGAGCCAATGCTAGTCATAGCTTAGCTGCTAAAACACTATTTTTAATTACTGTCAAAGTTTTGTATGCTGATCTATGTCTTAGTCACTATGTAATCAAGTTAGACAGATAAGAGTGTAAGGATGTGTTGGAATACATAAGATTAGAGAGGACACTTTCAGACCATAGCACAGAAGAAGTTATAATAAGTTGCGCATCCAGTATTGTTAATGTAGTCGCTTATTGTGCTGTATAATATTCCAAAATTATTCTTCCAATACATTAATGTTTCTTCTGACCAAAATTTATCACTAATTACTTGAATGCATTGGGTGAAATTTATTTATTTCTATCTTTTTCCCCAAAAGATTGACAAAGATGGGACGGATTCTGCTGGCATGAAGTCCTTTAGAGCATTGGCGCTATTTGGTGCTGGAGTCTCTGGGCTTATTGGATGTGCAACAATTTCTTACTCAGATGAGGCCGAGCATGGCTTAGAGTCTCCGAGCTACCCGTGGCCTCACAAAGGCATTCTTAGTTCATATGATCACTCTTCGTAAGTAGATTCATTGCTTCTGCAACAGTGTTGGAATGTGACTAAGAAAAGTGATATTTGGAATTCCTGCATTAGACATTTTCATTGGCCCTCTCCAACAGTCCTAAAAGAGTCTTTTTTTTATCAAGTTACAACTTTTTATTTTAGTAAGATACAAATATTTGAAAAAGAAACATATTTTTGGTTTTCACTTTTTTTTTTGTTTAAAACTAAATTTAACATGCGTACTTTGTATGGGCACGTTATTTTTAAAATGCATTAGCTTCTCTCTGGACTACTTTCTAGGACAGTATATGTTCCAGAACATTTTTTTGGAATATAGGGAGTAATAAATAAAAACAGATATTAAAAGGAATTGCGAGAAATTGATGTACTCCATATTTGTTTTGCAGCATTTTTGCATGGCCTGCTTAGCATAACAAACAAAAAACAGCTTTATGATTAGGGTTGATCTTGGTTTATTTACGGAGTTTATGCTTGCTAGTGCTTAATTGTATGTGAGTAAAGACTCTTATTTATTGTCATTAACTTAGTTTTCTGAAACAGGATTCGTAGAGGTCACAAGGTTTACCAGGAAGTCTGTGCATCTTGCCATTCGATGTCACTAGTTTCATACCGTGATCTGGTTGGTGTGGCATACACTGAGGAAGAAACTAAGGCAATGGCCGCCGAGATTGAAGTGGTTGATGGGCCTAATGATGAAGGTGAGATGTTTACACGTCCAGGGAAGCTCAGTGATCGGTTTCCGCAGCCTTATGCAAATGAAGCGGCTGCAAGGTTTGCTAATGGAGGAGCTTATCCACCCGATCTAAGTCTCATTACAAAGGCATGTTCCCTGGCTTTGCATTTTCTTTCCCCCCTTTAGTGAATTTTGTAAATGAATGTTCATCTAGTAGCTGAAATACTTTCCTGTACCTCAATTGCAGGCCCGGCATAATGGTCAGAATTATGTTTTTGCTCTTCTAACTGGCTACCGTGATCCTCCTGCTGGTGTTTCGGTAATTATTCATTTGAAGCTGTTTTTTGATATTTTTTTGAGAGTATTATATTTGTTGTCGTCGTCCACAGATACAACATCAATTATTCTGTCCCAAAAAGTAAGAGACATGTTTCAGCTATTAATTTGTTTGAAAAGAGGTCTGATTAATCAAACATGGCTAATTTGCCATGTAAGCTGTATAAAGTTACCAAAAAAAGTCAAAGATGAGTTTCATGATTCTCTACAGATGTGCATTAGTGCATTACCAAAGTGTGTGTGTGTGCGCTTTTAAATAGATTACATGTCTGGTTCTTGTGATGGAGGTAGTTTTATTATATCCATATTTATATTGCAAATTTTCTTCCAAGTGGGTGCTAAAATGTCTAATGTACAAATTTATGCTTGATATATCATTCACTACAGATTCGTGAAGGGCTTCACTATAACCCTTACTTTCCTGGTGGTGCTATCGCTATGCCTAAAATGCTAAATGATGGTGCTGTGGAATATGAAGATGGCACTCCTGCAACAGAAGCACAGGTATATCATGTCTTCATTTCTTATCATATCTTGCACAGTTGCACTTCTTTTGCCTGGCCAAGGTATATATGTAATACTTGCTAAATTTATAGATGGGAAAAGATGTTGTAACATTTTTGTCATGGGCTGCGGAGCCAGAAATGGAAGAAAGGAAACTGGTAAGTTCTTTTCCATTCCTCTTTTGTGTATCATTTTTATGTAAAAATCATTTTAAATTATGAGTGTTTACACATATAGTTTGCCATTTTTTATTTCTTTATTTTACTATCGAGTAGCAAACTTTTCTCAAATGCAAAAGCAGTTCCTATATCATGCATCCTGATTTTCCATAGTAATAATACATTTAACAGTCGCAAATAGGCATCATATAAAATCTTGTGTTATAGTCTTTAATAAACACCAAGATATAAACTTAGCCCCCCCAAACCCTCCACACAAAGTATATATCTTTATGATAAAATGTTTCTAAAAATCAATAAATAGTGATTGAAAGGTTATAAAGTCACCTATTATGTGATTTCTTTTATTTAATTATAAATTCTTAACCCTCCATCCATCCCCATCCTTAATCTTTAATGCATGTCTCATCTGATTGTCAGAGAAACTGTAGTGTCTATGTGCATTATTTCATTGATTTATTATTTTGATACCTCTAAATCTGATTTTAACTAGAAATGTCTTAGACTATGGGTTTAAACTAATGTTGCGCTTCTCTTACGAATGTAACTTCTTGCTCGAGTTTCTAACCATGAAAGTAGCCACTTGCCTCTTTAGATGCTCTAAAGAGTAAGCATAAACACTTCCCATCTACCCATTTAGTTTAATCCAAATAACATATACAAGTACCTTCCGTTTGTACCACAAGAAAACGGGTTAGATGTGTATTTGATCAAAGTAAATAATATGTTGTGTATGAGTAAATCTTGTGTGTGAATAATTTGCGATCTTAGTGTGTTACTATTGAATTGATCTTGCGATTCGATCATTGATTTGGGCAGATGGGGTTCAAGTGGATATTCGTGCTATCTCTTGCACTTCTCCAAGCGGCATACTACCGGCGGTTGAGGTGGTCGGTTCTCAAGTCAAGGAAGTTGGTTGTTGATGTCGTCAATTGATCCTCCAATCTCTCTCTTTTCTATGGACATTTTGCGTCCACGCGGGTGAAAAAAAACAAATAATAATTCTGCATTGGTACTTTGGTGAAATGATTTTGGCATGTCTTTCGATAGCGTAGACCATTAGAAGATGATGATGAAGTGGAGCATCTATAAACTATTTTTTTTCTTCTTCTTCCATGGATGGAATTATGGAAATAAGCTCAACTTTTTATAGAGTTGTCCCATTTTTTGTTTAAAACTTTTTTTTAAATTACTCTTTTATGTATGTACTTTGGTCTTGGCTCACATTGGTTTCCATTCAAAGTATGTCAATTGATGTACTACTTGCCTTCTCAAGTTGCTTTTATACTTCGCCACATTTTGGCCATGTTCGAACCTTTGTGATTTACAACAAGCATTTCTAGTTTAAAATCGAAGCATGCAAACTGCAAAGTGTTTGTGAAGCTCGAAATGTAAAATCCAGTTTTTTAATTGGTTAATCAAAATTAGTTTGTTGAGATGGGCATGCAAAAATATTTGTTACTAATGAAAAAAAATCAAGTATTCCGTATTCACTCTAAGAGCATCTACAATTACACAATATTGACTTGCTATCTTTATATTTTTAGAAGTAAATGGTGATATAATAAGTGATTTTTTTGTTCCATTCTACAATTATGGCTTCCTAATCAAATCTACAATCTTGGCTTCCTATAATTTAGAGAGCTTGATAAACTTAGCAAGCCAAACTCATTTTAACAAGCTTTTTGAAATGTAGCACACTCATTGGAGAAGAGAAAAATGGGTTGGCTAGCTATATCAGTGATAAGTAACGTAAGCCTTTCAAATGGGCTGAATGGTTGATGTTATATTATCTTTGCGTTCTAATTTAAATTGTACTCCCTCCATTCTACAAAACCCTTCCTCTTTCGTTTTTTTTCTTTCCACAAAACACTTTCACTTGCTATTAAAAATCCACTTTTACCCCTACTTTTTCATACCCTGCCTATCACATCATACTTTTTTACTAATAACTAAACTATCACATCTTTCTTTTCCCATCAAATCAGGGGCAAAATTGTAAAGTCAACCAAAATTACACTTTCCTTATTTTTCCCCAAAGTCAAAATCGGAAGGGTTTTGTGGAACAGAGGGAGTATGTTGTTTACGAAATTTAACTAAATTTTATTTCCAATCAATTTATTTAAAAATGGTATAAAATTATAAAATCGACTTTGTATAGTTAAAAACTAGAACAAAAGTTTTACAAAACAAAAGATTATAAGACTATTTTAATTTTTGAAATGTATAGCAAAAATGGATGAAGAAGGTGATCGAAGTTTGTTCTGTAAATAATATACAGTCAGCTTAAATTAGGATGACATTACGTTAGTCTATTTTAGTGACATTGATTCTATTACAACGTAAAATTTATTCCTACTTTTTAATCTAACGATGCACAGAGTCAACATTTTGTTTATGCCGGAACTTGGCAATGTATGGATTTTCTCATGAATCTAGGAGAGTAAACTTCTTGCCACTCGAGCCAAGAAAGAAGTTCATAACACATTAATCTTTGTATAAAAAAACAGGATGAGTCACCCCATTAATGTGCTATCGATATTTACTATTGAATACTGAAATACATGTATTACTCAAGAAAGAATGAAATACAAGGTAGAGTGTGTGTGTATAGACACACACACATACATATACCTTAATTTTTAACTTCTAAAGCCATAATTTATAAGCTAAAGCAGACTAGCAAACATTTAAAATTATGTTTTAGTAAAGTAGAAGCTATAAATTATTTTCAAATGCAATACCAAACACCCTCTTAATATTGACTTTAATTAATTGTTTAACATTTACTATATGCCTTCCAAAATATCCAGTTAATTTTATGTTTTGGATTCAAACTAAAAAAGTAATTGTATTGCATGTTACATGCTAGTATAGAAATGATTTCATTAATTTTTTTTGTGAAAAATTTATAATAAAATATTTTATTGTATTACATAAAATTTTATACAATTAATATATTAATTATCAAGGTCCATCCAACTTACTTGGAAAACTCAAAAGATGAGCCTCATCCCCGAGCTCCATCATATTCGGTCGAACGATCACTGAGAAGAGGTAAATTAAACTTTAATCAGAGATTGATTGCAAAGAGTGAAACTTGCATCTGGTACTTGCAGAGGCCTTATGCTTAGCATAGTTGTCTCCTAGTGCAGTTGTCAAGAATCGAACTTGGATCTTACCCTCTTGGCATCCATTGCCTTACCAACTGCGCAACGTCCACTGACTCCTTTAAAAAAAGGTCGGTTTATGGGATATTGATATCTAATGTCATAGCATGACCCAAGGCACTTATGGTATCATGCCTGAAAAAAGAATGATTTCAACCTCTTCTCTCCCACCTGCACCTCCCTCGGTCTTTGCCTCCATGCCTTTCACCTATTGGCTACATTAATTACTATAGTCAATTGGCAGATGGGAGGGTGCCAGAGGGGGAGGGAGGGGCTAAGGGTGCAGAAGAGAGGTAAGGGGATTAAGGAAAGAATAAACTATCAATCTTTCGAACAGAGCTCCATAGACATAACAGGTCATGCTATGATATTAAAATTTAATATCACATAACTAGCATGTTAAAAAATATTCTTTTGATCTTTTCATAGCTTCTAACCTTGCCTTTTTAGTTCTTTTTTATCATATATTATACTTTAATTAAACAACAACAACAACCCAGTTGAATCCCACAAAAGTAGGGTCTGGGGAGGGTGTGTGTACGCAGACCTTACCCCTACTCGAAAGTAGAGAGGCTGTTTCCAAAGAGACCCCCGGCTCAATGTTGAAAGTCGCATTGCTTGACTAACTGCTACTTCATTAATTAAAGAAGCGCAGACAGTTTAGAAATCCATTTTGATTTATTCCATCACACTCCAAAGCTAAAAAATGGTGAAATTTTGGCTCCATCAGAGATGATGGAAAAAGTTGTTAGAGACCAAACATAGAGTGCATAACTCTCCATCCCTACTTTATTGATGTGGAAAGAGATTATCTATGTTGGGATCCAATAGAACAATTACATCATTCACAGATGCGTTAAATACTTGATCGGTTATAATTCTTACACACTCAAAATCATTTTAGCAAAAAATTGTATTCCAAGTATATACTTACTTATTTCACCCCAACCATTGAGGGGCCAAATATAGATCTTGTTTACTTCAATTTATTTTTATTACTTAAAAGTATTACTTTTTCTTATTGAAATCACTCGCATTTTGAGTTCTATTTTTTCATCCATCCTAAATTGCTTGGCCAATTAATAATATGTGGTTCATATTATTTCATTCTCTATCCTTTAGATAAATTTCGACTTACACAATTTCACCGTTATTAAAGCATGTGTCCACTCAAACTAAGAAATATAAAATGAAACGGGATGGATTACCAAAATCAAAAAAAAAAGAGAAAAAAATGGAGAAAAACACAATTTGAGCCAATAAAAATGAGTAGCAAAACCATTGATAAATAATCAAATATCAATCCAAACAAAGTATGTAAAGGCACTCGAGTTGGGAACAAAATCTGCATAAACAATGATCTCTACATCTGTACAAAGAGAAATTCCACATCACATATGGACAAATTGAAAAAAAAAGAAAAAAAGAAAAAAAAATCAGGTTCAAATAGGGGAGGAAGTAACCAAACAGACCCTTAAATACTACACCAGAGAGAGTACTGAACAAACAGAGAAACCTAAGAATAATCATCAAAAATGCCCAAAAGGAGAGAGGAATCTTGGGACTCTACCTTTTGATGTGCTGCACTGGAGATTAGAATATTATAAGTAGAACAACAAAACAATGGAGATTGGAGGGTAGACTGGTCAGAAAAAAAAGTTTCTTTTTTTGGTTGTTGGCTTTTCCACACGAAATAGAGACATGTCTGGAAGCTTATGAGGAGATGCACGAATGAGGTTAAGCTTCGGGTACCCCTAGAATTCTATTTATGAACGGCGACATGGCTGCAAGCAAAGCCTTGGGACATTCCTCGTGAGGCAGATGTCCGCAACCAGAAATTGCCACCAGCCTCTGCAGTAATTTCATAACCAAAACACAATTATATAAACGTAATGTTTCTAAAAAACAACGGTGATTGAAATGGTAAACGATCGCATATGTTACTACGTATGTTATTCAAAATTTCATAAGATCTCGTGTCAAGATTGTAGACTACACTTTCCAAAGGCAACTTTTAACGGAGGATTTTGGAGGGGATAGTTCAAATTTTGATATACGTTTTATATTTTACAAAACAAATGAAATATTAGCACAATATGATATTGTTTTTCGAAGGATTTTATATATCAAGATATAGAGTATAGACTAAGCCATCCAAAACCCTCCAACCCAAAAAGGCCCTTAAAGAAGTGGTTTTAAGGTGAAAATTAATTTTGTCATAAATTGACAAGCATACCCCTATTAGTTTCTAAAAATTCAAAGTAACAAGCAAGAGCGAAAGACACATGTGAGGGTGACATCATATTTCATACCTTTATTGTGTTACTCCCTCCGTCCCAAAAAGAATTTCTTACTTTGATTAACGTGCAAAACCCCGTGATTTTTAAAATCATTTTATTTACAAATTGGTAAAGAAATAACACAAAAAAAATTATATTTAAAAACTACATCGAGAACTCTACAAAATAAGAGGTGACAAGAATATTTTATTTTATCAAATAATCAATGAAAACACGCAAAAAAATACAGTAAGAGTTATCGAGAGGCCGTAATAGTAAACACAAAAGACTTTTTGGGACGGAGGGAGTATTAGATTGTTAAATGGGCATCTATATGTGAAAAGGCGCATTTATAATGGGCAGTTGCTTGAGAACAGAGGGAAACATGCATTGAACAAGAGACTTACAGAATTTACAAGATTTGAGGCCATAATTTGAACAGATTTTAATGGTACAAGGGCATCTTCTGCTCCTGCAACTACAAGTACTGGTATGTTTACAACCGATTTTAGGACTGAAGCTGCGTTGTCAGGGGCAAGCACAGTTTCAAATGACAATTTCCCTATCTCATGCAGTGCTTCATCCCAACCTTCTACAAATAACGGGGCCTGTTTACCAAGCAAAGAAAAAAAAAGGATGAGTCATACTGTAACCCCATAACCATCGAGGTAAGGAACAATCTTGAAATATTCTGGAATAGAGATGACATGGGAAAAAAATTTGATATACATGAAAAACTTTCCATTTCAATGTTATCTCTTAACAAATTGGCCTCTTAACAAATAGTTAGATACATTATCCTCAAAATTGTCTGGTCAAGGTACAGCTTTTAAGAT